TTAATTAGTTGGTTGGTCTGTTTCCTGGTTGCCTGGTTAGTTATTTGTGATTATAAAATCCTTATTGTCCTTTAGATTTGACAAGCCAGACATTTCCAGCAAAGCACGAGAAATTCTGCCTTCAAAATTGACATCAGAGCGGCTACAAGCAGTCTTCCAGGAACGAATGACACGAGACTTCCATCATCGCAAGTGTGGTGAACTCATTGACGAAATTGCCTTGAACAACGCCGTGAAAGAATTCAAAAACATCCATGACATGCTGCTCAAAATGAAAAGAAAATATTCTCCCAAGAAAGATCATGGCAGTGACATCTTCATCAGCAGTTTCTCTGAGAATACATCTGGAAGTAACATCCTTGTCCTCAAAAATCTGGCCAATGAGCTGTGCAAGATGGTGACTGAGGTCGACAACAGCGTTTCACTTGTTCAGAAAAGTGCTCAAAACCTTGTTGGTGAATTCCAGGACCGTCTTTCCAAAACAACAGACAAACTTAGCAACGATCTTCTACTTCAACAACARGAGGTCCAGAAACTCAGGCAGGCTAATATTGAGTTGGAATACTCCATTAAAGAAAAGGACTGCAACTTTGAGTCTCTGCAAGCTCTTGTTGACAATTTGAACGCGGAAAATGATAAGCTTGAAAAACGCTGCCGTGAGCTTGAAGAAAGCAACGAGAGAGCTACGCTTGAGCTTACATTCCGTTGCCGTGAGCTGAACAACTTGAGGTAAGCAAACTGTGTCGTATTCTTTTTATAATCATTGCATACTTTCATTTATACAATTATCTTTGTTTATATTCTTGTTATCTTCATAATCCTTTCATTAWTAGATGCGACGTCCAAAGAAGAGATGTCTGCTCCTCCCAGATGCTTGATGAGTACCACAACATGTGGAGAGAAAAGAACCAGTTGAACACTCAGATTTSTTTGATGCAGACAGATCTCAGTGTTGCTGAGAACAGAAGACTAATTCTTTGCACWGAGAGCAACGAGCTGAGAGAACAGATTGACAATCTCATGAGGCAGGTCAGAGAGCTTGGAGGAAGTGTTCCTGAATTTGAAGAGGCAACAAATCAAGGTAAATTCGAGAGCAACATAAAGAAGAAACTTTAAACGGCATTGAAGTCTCATATAAAGATAGTGATCGTCAGATGTTACTTTTTGTTCCAATAAATTTTACTTTCCTTACAGACGATTCCAACAGTYTAAATGAWMAGCCAGACTTAGCCRCTGAGTTTGCCCTCAAGCCAGCCAAAAGCTTCAGATGTTTACACACAGCTGATGCTGACCCCACTTCAAGTGTCGACCCKAAGCACATCTCGTCAGACGAGTACATCGTGTTTCTTAACGAAGGCGAGCTACAGAATGGTCTGCATGACAAGGGGGAAGCTGAGCTCCTCACTAACAAAGAGGCTCGACCTGCGAAAGAATTTTCCAATGGTCAGAATCATCAAATGGTTAATGGGCGAGAAGGTGTTGTGATGCAAATGGCTGACGGATTGGAAATTATCATTCCGCAGGTATGTGTGTATAGAGCTCTTAGAACAAAAGGTCTACTAGTATCTAAAGCGACTCATCTAAGGCTCGGAAGTGGCGCGCTAAAGAACAGGGAGAAACCACAAGACAAGTGTTTATAGCAAGGAACTCGTGCGGAGAAGAAAGCAAGACGCTATATGGCGAATTACTTTTTGAAGCAATACTGGTGTTAAGAGCAATGCCTTTGCACACTAGAACTGAATATTGCACAGGGTTGTAAATACAAATTAATTCTATCAATGTACATAAACGTTTACGGAATATTGGTAAGTGTGGCGCGTGCCATTACTCTATAAAAAGCTATTTGATAAGCAAGTGTTATAGCATAGGACGATAGAGTCCTTTCATTGTATCTGTGGAGCAGGTTGTCAGAAATTGCACAAAATTACAATCAAATAATAGAACATAACGGCTTTTGTACTARTTTCATCAACAATTTTGTTAGCAAACTAATACTCCGCGGATATATTGAATGCACTTAAAATATCAGAAAAAAAGGTAATTTAAGCGCCCACATCGAAGCTGGAAGAGTCGTTTATAGGATTTATAGGACAACAAGGTAGGATTTTATAATTATATCGTATTATTATCCTGATAGGACGTGGCTGAACGACTTATGAATCTCGAGTTGGCCATCCAGGAGCGAAACATCCAGCTCACCGAGTTCCAGGAGATGATTGATTCCTTGAAAGAGCAGAACTCCAACCTCGAGCAGGAGAAGGAGGAAGAGATTGAGAAGTATTCAAGCTTYCGACAGGAGACACTGGAAGAGGCCCAGCACCTCAGAGACATACACAGCCGTCTTCAAGAGAAGGAGAAGGAGCTAGACGAGCTGTTGCGCAAGAATTCAAAAGAGGATTCAAACAAAGGTGATGCTGCGAATACCAATGGAGATGACGGCGGAACTGACTGGTTCGAGGAGTGCGTAAAGGTATCCAAACGCGTCAAAGAACTCCAGGATCTCTTGGATCGGCAAGATGGAGTATTCAAAGAGATGGAAGCACAGAGGGAGGCTTTTAAAGAAGAGATTAAAAAGCTGAAGGAGTCGACTACAAAGAAGGAAGACGATGAATCCGTCGYTCTCCAGGGTGTACCAGAATTGCTGAAGGACATCCAGAATGTGGTCGACAAGTTGCGGAAGAAAGATACCCGTACAAAGAACACTCCAAAGCCAATCCGCTTCTACTCTGACACTGATCTTGCCGCGAAGGAACTGCAAAGCATGAAGAAAGCCAAGACCAATGCCGTGTTYATCGTCGCAGATGCCTTCTCAACAAGTGACAAAGAATTTGCTTACAAGAGATTCAATAAGAAAAAGAACAAGAAGTTGCGCAAAAAGATGAAGATCAAGAGTTTGCTTGAGTCAAACACAACCCTTMGAGACACTGTAGGCATTCAAGAGGAAGTGGCACCCAGTGATAACGCTCCATGCCAACCATCTTCTCATTTGGAGCTAAAGGCTAACGAGGGATTGTCACCCGAGGAAAGCTCAAAGGAAACGATTCGACTTGAGAAATGCTCTACTGATGAGAAGACAACCCAAGAAGACTCTGCCGAAACAGAAGTGCTTCAATCCTCTGCAACCACAGAATCAACCCTAGAAGAAGGCGCAGKTGAGGAACAATTGGTYYATRGAGAAKTAATTGCCGATGCAGAGASAGGAAGACATCTATCTCCTGAGCCCACAGWATCACTCCAGGGAGACGACGCAGAGGAGACAGARTTGGCCCAAGGGCAAGAAGGTRCAGYCATAGATCAGACAACAACCACTTGCGATATTCTCGATCTGTCTCAAATAKCTCAAGAGGAGTGCACATTCACCGGTTTTGCGTACAGCCCCATAATTGCTAAGTCGCTGAAAGAGATGAAACGCCTGGACGTGGACAAATTGCGCGGTGCGCTTGAGGATGGACGAGCTGTCAACACGATGAGCATCAAATCAGCCAAGCACACATCGATGTTGYTGTTCCACAGACAGAAGTTATCGCCACTTTACGAATTTGATGAGCCACGAGGAGAGAGTAGAGAGGGACGACAAACAGATGAGGTAATCACTTAATAATCAGTTAGAATTGAATTGATAAATGAKTTCATGGATGGCTGGATGGATGTAGGGAGGGAGGGTGGGAGGGAGGGAGAGAAAGGGGTGAGGAAGGGGACAGGGAGGGAGGGAGAGAGGGACGGACGGACGGATGGCTGACWGAATGCGCCACGTGTAGCAAAGACCAGTTGTTGTACACTATGTTTGATACTGTGGACGAATGAATCTATTAATGGGCTGTTAGATCAAATAATAGCTAGATGAATCGATCCATTGTTTGTGATCGAAAAAAAGGAAGAAAATGAAATGAAAGAAAATAGTTKGAGTGGCGAGGGAAAATCTATAAATACTGAGGCCGACACATTTCCCAGCCGACTAGAATATTCTTAAGCAATTTGAAAAGAAAGAAAAGAAACAAAAACAAAAGATAGAAAAGGAAAYGGAGAATTCAGCTGAATTTTAGTCTTGTACGTGACGGTCACGCATGGAAATATCAGGAATACTAAGGCAAATACAAATGATTTCCGAAATACATATCGATAGAATCTAATCCATTGTTGATCWCGTATAATGGAAAAGTTATATCCCGTTGCTAAGGAACTTGATTAAAAGCCCTTATAGCGCCTTAAATCCCTTCCTGATTGAAGATATATTACGATTACTTACGCCAGATTTGTAATGCTGTTTACYTTATGATCAACAGGAAAGCGCAGCTTCCTCTGAGGAAAAGCAAGAGTAAAGAACGAACTTCGTCCCAAAATATTGTACATATATTGTAAATTATTTAACATCTTATATGTTAAAATTATTTGTTTTTGTAAACTTAATTATAAAAAATACAAAAAAAATTATATAAAGTTTTGAACAAAACGAAAAAAAAAATAATTGTCGTCAACTTGTTGACGAGTGATTTTGTRAATGAATAAAAAATGAGTTGTTAATCGGTTGTTCATCTTAGGGGCCTGTTTATTAAAGTCAGGGGGAGGCAAGGCAGGGTTCCGTGTCCCCCTTTCCATAAGCTATGTAATTTTTTTTATCCTACATCCGTTTTAGCTGGGATTAAGATGGAAGTAAGCTTTTTGTCGTTTAAACACATATCAATCAATCAGTTCCTTGAAAAATCATGATTAATCAAGTCACCATGGAAGCAAAATGATAAATAAAGGTTACCCAAGTCACGTAGATATATAATTGAAATAGAAAATATGAATGACTCATCATTGAAAACAAGCAAAATAACCGCAATCGATCAAATTCACTTATCACAATATTCAACCGGCGCTAGGACGGAAATGGAGGAAAAGTTTTAATAGTTGAGTTTCGCGATCTCTTTTACGCTGTGTTAGCCTCAATTGTGTGTAAAATATTCAGAAATGTTGATAAAAATCGTGAAATTTCAAATAATTTTCATTGTTATATATACTAACTGATCTCTTGTATTTGCACGGGCTGGTAGTGAATAAAAGATCGAAATTACATGGTTTTGAATCTAACACAAGGTAAAAGACATCGCTAAAAAGGTTTATTGATCGATGCTACACCTGAATCAAACGCCGAACTTGACATGGACCGATCAATAACAGCGATGCCATTTTTAGCAGCAAAGCATGATGGGATATGTAGAGAAGCGAAAATACATTACCAAAAGCAAAAACACAAACGATTTCGTGACGGAGGGAATTCAGACAGATCTACAGTTGTCAACATAAATATCAGATCAAGTCAGCTGGACAAATGGTTGCGTCGGGTGATTTTAATATCAAACCACATGAAATAAMATCTTAATGGTTCCAGATAAGAGTATTTGATGAAATGTCCCCCGTGTCCGGAAAATTACGCTTTTAGCCACATTGTGTGCTAGTAGAATAAGATCAGATTTCCGGGAGTTGGGCTGAGATATTTTTGTAACGATTGGTTTTCGTGGCGTGCATGGCTATCTTTAAGATCCGCCATTATCAGGCTCTCAAAAGATTATATAGTTCTAAATCGTGATTTTTCGGCTCTTTGTACGASGCATAATTGGTTTTCGTGGCGCTTTTATCTTCCTGACCGGCGTTTCAGGGTCTCAAATGATTGAAATGTGATGTTCTTGGCCCTGTATGTACAAAGTGATTTATTGATATTTAGTCAATAACAATGTATCGAGGTCTATCAATAATATTGATATACTAATAATAATAGATGCATTAATTTTTGATCTGTTATATTACATGTATTCCAGGTTAAGGCTGCAGAAATAAGATCTCCAACCTGGAGCCAGTATTGAGGTCTGAAGTTGATGTTTCTCGCTTTTTATTGTCTGAGTACTGGCAACTTGTCGCGAAACCAAAAAAACAGGATAAGAMGACGTCAAATGTGAACATCAGCGAATTAATGTAGCACGACAGGTTGAGGGGTTTTGAATCTCGTAATTCTCCGCCTTTAAGTCAAGATTTCATCCTACTATTTTTGAAGTCACTCCCCTCATAACACAAGTAAACACTATGCTTATGTTATTGTAASTAAGGACGTAAGTAACCTTTCCAAGCACAAGCTCGTATAACTCGCGTTGTTATAAATACCATCATATTAAAGCCGGCAAATAAGGGCTGCGCAATATTTATCTTGTATCTTGTATCTTGTAAAGAGAGGGAGGCAATGTCTAAAATTAACTAGAACTTTAATTGGAAACTGGAAATCAACGGTGTCAGATTCGAAAACTTCTCAAGAAAAGCGTGCCACAGTTTGCGACTGACTCTTTATTCACGAATAATAAATGAATAAATAAATTCAACGCTATAATAATATATGCAAATTTCAGAAGCACTATACTTGTTGTCTGTGATATCCTGATTTCATATCCGCTAGCGCTCCACATCCAATATCTGAGGGCTATTTATCGTAGCGCCGTAATCCTTTGAATTTTATATAAAAATCTGAGTAGTTTTTACATAAAGTGTAATAGGCAAAGTCTAATAATATCTGACATACCGAAAAGACAAAGAAAACCGTACACAATGAAGAGTTGTCGCATTCAGGGGTTGATAAAAACAACGCTAGCCAGGAAATTCATTTATAGTTTTCATTCTCARTTTACACTCGTGTGCCATTGGTCGATCATTGACAATAATATCTTGACGTCACGTCCAACACTTTCAATTTAGGATGACTTTGACGACGAAGCCTTTGGCAATTGTCTTAAAAAAACTGTTTACGATGTTTTGATTAAAYTGAAGCCAAGACTTTTACGTCCGAATGTTGTTGAAAGGCTATTAAACTTTAAAATTGAATCTTACATTGTAAATGATCCATAACTTTCGATCCAAAGTCTAAGAGCCTTCAGTTTCTCGATGCAATAAATAAACACCCACACTTACTAAGAATAATTGCTTTAGGGGTAAAAACAAGGCGAAGACGGTCATATTGTTTGAACGTGGTCTGTAAGTACACCGGAAATTACCAGGCGTTGCTTGTCAYCTTGTCCAGTCTTCGGACGAGTGGCAGCTATGCATAAATAAGTAATATTTTGACTCTTGAAAAATAACAAGTTGACTAACTCGTTCAACAACAAGTTGTGACCTTGCTTGGAGGATTTCTCAATCAATTTTGAAGCAAGTGTATACTGTGTAACACTAATCAAGTCAATCGGATCGATTTGGGACCGTGAATAATTTATATACGTGAGTTTATAACTTGGGACTTGGTATGCATCCAATATCGTTAGCTCGCGTTATTTTTTATACAAAAAGTCCTCATTAGGCCAATCCGCTTTACCCGATGGTATAATAATCCTCAGTTATAGCTTGGCTAAGAGCTAGTTGTATTTGAAGACTGATGGATGCCTTTGATGTCCAAAAGGAAGGCTATCTAAGAAGACTAAAGGTAGGTTTTGAGGCAATGACTGGGGCTCACCACATTTGAATTAATCTATGATTCTACCTTAGTCAGGTGTTTTAGTAAACCTGTGATATACGAGTGATTCTCTCCTAGGGAAATTGCTGAAGTAAATGCATTAATTTTTAATGAAAGTACACAGTTATAGTATAAAATGGCTTAAGAGCGAAAATGAATTTTATCGTTTTGGTTTGTTTTTATGCAAGGTCATCTTGGCTTCTTGCTTCGACAAGTTTTGTACGCAAAGCTGCTCTTATTGATTCTGGGCCTGACACACTTCGTAACATTGTCCAAATCCGTCATAAGATCGCAAACTGTTTATAAAGAACATTAGGTGCAATTTCCATTTTTTTTCTTTGCTTTTATTTCGTCGCCCGCATGTCTTGATTCCTCTCGGTTTCAACTTGTCAATATCATCGTAATTAATCTAAAATTTTCCAATTATTCTTCGACAAATTTTATCTTAACCATTACACAGATAATTGTGTTTAGTAAATTGTGATTTGTATAAAGTTGAACGCACATGTTTCTATTGTGCAATATATCTGTAAAATATTATAATTGCTGAACTTAATCGTTTGTGAATTTGATACCCGTTGTGCCTGGTTCGCAACATTGTATTTTTTTTACTTTGACTTCAAAACGCTTATTTACTGCTAATCAAAATACTTGCAAAGGACTTCGTATGCAAATTCAAGGGCTTCAATTTAGCRAATAAAAAATCTCCTTTCCTACGTATAATTGTGTGTAATTGAAATTACATAATCAGTGTGACAATGTTGCAATATACATTTCCCGCTGCAGACGCAGAAGAGACGATATTTTGTTCTGCGGACTGTTTCTGTGCGTGGAAAACCTCGACTTGAGTACTATGAAAGCGAGAAAAAGTTCCGTACTAACTGCCCACCAAAACGTGTCATTCAACTTGCAAGCTGCTTCAACATAACCCAAAAAGAAGACACCAAACATGATTTCGTGTTTGCATTGTACACGCGCGAGGACGTGTTCGGACTGATTTGCGACAGCAAAGATGAATTGAAATCGTGGCTGGCTGCTTTATTAAGGGAACAAAGCACGACCTCAAACTCTCATGGGACTCAAGGCAATGGTAAGCAAGTAGTTCCTCTGAAAACTAAAACTATACAGATTAAAAAAACACAACCCTTTTACAATACTTGACACCACCTCCGCCGGSCTGAGTGGACTTTGAAATGTCGTCTATCTTGTCATGTTGACCAGTCTCAAGAGTTTTACTGTTCTGACTTATTTGACCTTTATTGAATCGTTGTCAAAAATACGTCTATTCTAGTACAAGTGTTGAATGAAAGCTAATACGAAGTAAAAGTTTAAGACGCTTTTTCTATGTGTTATTGAGTCTAACGCGTGTCCTTTATAAATATAGATTGCACGCGGAAGTAGWAATCAATACATTTAATGACATTTATATCCATATCTCGCGTCATAAAGGGTTATTTTTAATTTTGTTCTTTTTAAGTCCAAGATATTGTTTARTGTTTATTTTTAACACTGGAGTATGGTTTCACGTGATAGTATTTTCTGAATTTCCTTATCTATTTGTGTTATCTTCTTAAATCACTCTTCAGTTTTTAGTCAACAAAGTTTCAACACTTGAGAAAGATTGATTTTTTTTGTTTATAAATGGAGTCGTTTTTTTGATAGATCCTTTTTGATTGTACTTTTGTGTTTGCAAATCAGCGCAATCATTATTTTCATCATTAATATAATCAACTTTTCATCTTTAATCGTTTCATTAACATATTTCATTGAAAAACACTCATCTGAGAAGGCCAATGTGATCCGAAATGTTCCAGTTAACAATGTTRTAAAAGTTGCAAGTTTCGAGGATTGTTTTCGATTATAGTTCTACTCATGCATTATTGGATTGTGTATTATGTTTTGCTATGTATAATATTTATTTTTTTAACTGTTTTTCTGTGTAGCTGGGAGTTTCTAGCTTCTCTCAGGGAAACTCGGTTTCTCTCAATTGCATTAAGTGTTAAAATGCATGCAGCTAAATGTTGTGTGTAGAACTTCCCTGTCTTGGAATACGTTTTCAAATGTTCCATAGTGGTTTCGCTAATTGGTATCACACACAATAATATTAATGGGTATTTTTATTATTTTAGATTATTTATCTGATAGTCTACCTGGAGATTTTCAATTACCAGCATTACGAAGTAACCATGTTACATCTGTTCCTCATGGTAAGGTTTATTCTTAGTGTTTGTGCACGATTTTTTGTCTGTTAGAGTAAGTCATTGAAGGCAGTTGGGAAGGAAAAATGAGAAGGAAGCAAGAAAATGGAAAAGAAAATGCAAATCATGGAAAAAATTAAAGAAAATAATGAGAATTTAGAAAAGTAGCATATAAATAATGTTCTATATATTTTTTTAAAGTTTCCATTTTCCCATTCATTTTATGCTATCCATTTGCTATTTTTTATTTTAAATTTCTTTTCTTTTCCTGCTCATATCCTTGGTTTCTCTTCCTCTCAATAACATTTCTTCAATATTTGCACCASAATTCAAACCTTTTTTGTACAAGTCCATCAGTCATATTTACACAGAAACTGATTTCCTACACAGTATCTACCTGGCCTGTCACTGTCAAACCAAGAGGCCTTGGCACAAGTAAACACCTTGCTGGAGTTTACAATCTAAAGCTTGCCGACCAYACWTTGAGTCTACACAAGATTTCAAGTGAYGAAGTAGTGGTGGATTTTCATTTGTCAATAGTTCGTCGTTGTGGCCATACAGATTGTTTCTTYTTYATGGAAGTYGGACGGTCAGCWGTWACKGGTGCTGGTGAAATATGGATGCTGGTTGATGATGCTATATTGGCCAAGAATTTACATGAAGTGGTCTTAATGTAAGTTTCTAATAATGTAATTTTAAGTTTTATTTTTAGCATTGAATGCGCAGATGGCAACTATCAGGTTTGTGGAAGATCATTCAAGTTATGTTTACATTAGAGAAAATTGTTCTGTATTCAAGACAATATTAGATTTRTTGGCTGTTTCTTCCTAGAACCATTGGCCATTCCTTACCATTTCATCGCCTGTTCCATCATATGCTTATCATTTTGTTTTTAAATCTACTCTATAGTTCAATGCAGTCCTTATCAGCTGAAGGTTATTCCTCCTTATCACGGCATAGATGCCATTCTGGTGGCTACAAACCCCGACCAACATCATTAATGCTGGTAACACCACCTCGTAATAGGTCAGATACCCTCCCTGATCCAGAAGCAGGGTCACCYGATCAAGAGGGACCCCCATCACCGCTCAAGGCACAAACACCAGACCACAGCAGYCCATCTGGTGGCAAACGATCTGCAATGTTCCAGAGACTGTTGTCTGTTAGTAAGCGGAAATCKGAAGGTAATAGTAATACAGTTCTTTGGATAAGACACAAATTATTTGCATGTCAATGGAAATGCTGCCAGTCCCCAAGTTAATYAATWATATGTTGCTGTTTATAATTTTACTGCATTTCATTTCTTTTTGTACTCAACAATTTGTCTTATTTTTAATTTCTTTTGTCAGGTTTTGATTTTAGTCCAAGACTGTTCTCTCGACGAACACAATCCAAGTCSYTATCRATTGACCCTTGTCCTGGAGGRCTACTTGGTCGTGCACAGTCAGTAGATTTYTCCAGCTTGTTTGGTAATGCATTACCCAGCAGTCCAGGTGAGCACTGGTTCCAGCAGTGATAATAAAGCCATGAAGACATGCATGGTCCAAAATGTTTAAAAAAAACTTATGACTTTTTATTATATGTAATAGAAACACCAGAAGAAAAAAATGTGGGTTTTGATTTAGAAGAACCACAAAGAACCTCATCCAACTCGTCAGGGTCATCAGAAAGAAGCTGGGAYCAACCTCTACTAAAAAATCACCCTGATGAGAATGAGGARAGAGGTAAAAAKACTCTAATTATCTGGTCATTSAAAAAAGGATTGTAAAACAGACAATGGAACTCTCTAGTCAGAACCAGCACCTCTTAGAGTTTTGCAAGTTTGCACATCATTTAAGTTTGAATCAGTTTCTAATTCTTATCAAATTCATTAATAATTCATTCAAACTCATTAATAATTCATAAGGTAAACACAATGGAAAACCATTGCCGTGACTGCATCTTTATATGAGCAAGAGATTTGTCCTGATTTGCATACGACTTTAACTTCGATTTTCTCTTACAAATGATATTTTATTCTGAAGTTTTTTTTGAAATATGCTTTAGCTTGTGTTGGAATTTGATAAGCAATATAAAATATTCGTGTCCGACCTTTATGGGCTATAAAACTGCTCGCTTGCAGCTCGCAGTTTTAAATGCCCATAAAGGTCTCCCGCTCATATTTTATATATTACATACCATTAGAATGGATTATTTTTTTAACAGTCTAGAGTAATTAAAGTATTTTGTTTTTGTCAGATTCCAAAATGTTGACCCCTTCATCACGTCCTCATGAGATTTTCCCGGCAGATGAAGGRTACGATAGCACAGCAAGAGATGACAACACACCAGATGACAGTCCATCTCTTGACAACAGCAGGGTCAGTGATGACGACACAGATAGCAAGATATCAGGAGACGACCAAACATTGAAGGTATTTAAGCCATTAGACTAAAGCAGTATGGACAAATAAAACAGATACCATTAGATAGCACTATACACTCTTTCCTGATTCCCTGCATGAATTTTTAAGATAAACAAACCTTTTCAGAAATGTGTAAAAAACCTGTAATGATGACCCATAAAACAGATACTCTCTGTAGCGATGCAGCAGCTGCTTAAACATAATAAGAGTTTGCATATTGCAATAATAGAAAATGTCCAGAAGCTGTCCA